GGGACTCCATTGTCGTGCCACCCATTCCTATCATGAGACTTATCCCAGCATTACCGCTGAGACTGGACTGAGTGACACTGATTTGAAGGGAAGCATCCTCACAAAAATCAACTGACAGACTTGCATTACCATTTAGAAAGGTTGGCGGAGTAGGACAGATGCACTGCTGCCATAGTGACAGTGCAATTCTTCCAACAAAGGATCAAATTACCACAAGAGTGTCAATAGAACGGGGTTACAAGCATCTGAATTGCTCTTTAACATGCTGAAATATGTGCAATTACTTATTACAATTACTTGTATGTCTTTCCAAAAAAGGACACCTGGAGACTCCAAAAGGACACAAAATAACCAAGTGATATAAGGAGACCATATAATTCATTCATTTACTGTGTTCACACCAAAGCACACACTGGAAAAAAAAAACTTTTCTTATTTCGTATAGGATGTGTTTAGTGCAACAGCAAAGAGCTTGTTTACATTTTAGACAAGTCCAGTTGCGATACCGAACGGGACTACATGCCAAAAAAAAACCATACCAACCGCCTTGACCTGACTGCATATACCCACTACAGTACACAGATCCATTCAGAATGACCAAAAACAGCAACATACACATGACAAATCAAAATATTATCCTCAATATGAGTGGAAACAACCTGAATGTAGTGAAATGTGTCTGTACATAAATACAATGTGCGATCAGTGCGTCGAGAGCATATTCACGGTTTGTTTGTGCATCAATACAATGGACTCACACATGCTTACTGTACGACTCCTGTAAGTCACTGCAATCGTCTATACCTTGATTGCAATCCTCATCCATCAAAACTTTACTAGCAAGACGCTGGATTGCGTTATCCAGCGGAGAAACGTAGTTTGCGTATCATCTGGCCATACAGCAGAGGGCTGTATGCCGTTCCATTCAGTCCATATATTTCACACAGAATATGACAGAGCTCGTGTTTTGAAGCGAAACACACACTGGACTGAATAATTCACTGAACACGCAACGTGAGTCTATTATCTCTGCCAACTCTGATGTAATAAGCCTCGTTTTCTTTGCATTGATGCTTTTTTGTAGCCTGACTTCGTCATACTCATATTCTAGTCAGAATGTGAGTCTGATACTGCTCCATAGGGCTTTGATTATGAGGCGTGTCTTAACCGAACCAGGAAAAAAAAAACTCTGCACTCAATTGGATAGACCTACAACCAATCAGAGCAACGCAGTTGTGTTTTTTTTTATGAGCTACGCAAAGTTGTCAACAGAACTCAACTACACGCACGCTGGAAGAAGTAGTGAAATAATGAGTGTTGCTTCTTTTACTTGGTCCTCCATGAGTGCGACCAAAGGAGAAACCACAACGACCGCAGGGTTTTCATTGCGTCCCATCTTCTTAGCGACCATCGGAGCCAGCTGATAAATTAAACTTTTGCCGAATCCCGTAGGAAGGACGGCAAACACATCTTTCCGATCGACAAATGCCTTGATTGCAGTTCTCTGTTCGTCTTTTAAAATTAATGCGCTGTCGATTTCTTTTACAACAGACGCGATAGCGGAATACATCTCAGTTCTCCAGCTGCAGTCATCTCTGGGGGAAACCAGTTCAACCCAAGCGCTCTTTGATAACGTGATGATTACGTAACTGCAGATCATCTGTCCATCATCGTATAAAGCCCGCCCTGGCAATTTGATTGGCCCGACTAATTCTGAACCGATTATAATTACTCCTCAATGGAGCGAGTCCAGACCGAACTTCCCGATCAAAAAATGTTGTGGGCGGGGTTCGGGCTGGCATCCAGGCTAGCTTTTTTGGACTGCTTGGACGAATTCGCTTACTGGATCATTGGACAGAACATTTCCACAGAGTTTAGCGGTTTCTGGCAAACAAAGAAGCGAAATCATCTTGAACGGTTAGAAGAATTAATATTTCCAACTTCCAGGGTTACAGGTGCTTGCGCCATTGTAGAAGCTCAGTGTGACTCCCGACGAATGCTGCGTTTCATATGAGGTTGGACGTGGGAATATCCCAAAATAAATGTCCCACTTCAGAGCTCAGTGAGTTCCAGGCAATCAGACGTTCACATGTTGACCACATGATGTCGCCATGACACATCGAGAGCATATCGTGTTTTTGTGTCAATTATGGAAAAGATAACATAAAATCACTTTGAAAACAGCGAGTTTTGAAATTATTACATAAACTTAATGTCTAATCTTAAGATTTGTTTTTACATTCATGTTTGGAAGCAGCCGATATCTTGGAAATTATGTCAAATAACGTGAGGTTAAAGTTGATCGGTGATGACTTTGAGTGGCATTCCAGATGTTATTTCCAAAAGCGAGATGGGAAAAATCCAAATTCCGAGCTGTCTGAAAAGCAGACAAGATCATCTAACTGCGTGACGTTATGTTAATGACGCAATTTTACGTGCTTCAGTAATTTATTTAGGTTAAATTATTTTAACATGTGAAGGACTCTAGTGGTCACTACAGTGGACAGCTATTAAAAAAGCATTTTCTTGAATTTGCAAGGGTTTTGATGGCAAAGTTGCACATCAATCTCTTCAGTGGACCCTGGTGCATCATCCTATACATTGCAACCAAGTTGCAAGCCGTTGTGTTTCGAGTTTTTCCCCCTCCAAACCAAGATGGCCAATGGTCAGTCAGACATGCCAAGTTGCTCCGGAATATCCACCCATTCCTTCTATCCTAGGAGACTCTTGTAGGTAAAAAAAATATTGCAGCATCAAGCAATATCTAATGAGTCATATGACAGTAAAATTTTCCAAGTTTTGATTTTATATTGGGAGAAAAATCTGATTAATCACCTGTCCACTATAGTGGACCTCATGCATCAATGGCTATATTTCAGCTACAATTCATACTTATACTGTGAATATTGTTTTTGAAAATGCTTAATCTGCAGTGACGTTTTTTTACTGTAAATAAATGTATTTGTATTATTAGAATGTTAATTTCATTGACATCGAAAAAAGTTATGTGATTACATAATTTATGTGACTTATGTATTACTTTACTCATTTCATCAAAAAAGTAATCTAATTATGTAATGCATTACTTGTTAGATCAAAAAGTTATCTGTTTACCAATGAATGTTGCTTGTAATGCATTACTTTACTTGTTAGATCAAAAAGTAATCTGATTTCGTAATGTACTATATTGTAATGCTTTTCTTTACTCGTAAAACACAAAAAAGTAATCTGATTACGTAATGCATGTTACTTGTAATGCGTTACTTTACTCGTAACAACAAAAAGTAATCTGATTACGTAATGCACATTACTTGTAATGCATTACTTTACTCGTAAACAACAAAAAGTAATCTGATTACGTAATGCACATTACTTTTAATTAATTACTTTACTTGTTAGATCAAAAAGTAGTCTGATTAGGTAAAACATGTTATTTGTAATACATTACTTTACTCGTAACATTAAAACAAATCTGATTATGTAATGCACGTTACTTGTGACACATTACTTTACTTGTAACATCAAAAAAGTAATCTGAATGCGTTATGCATGCCCCAACACTGCTAATTTCAGATGAGATTGAAAAATACGTATCGCTAGGTTTTCTCAGAAGAGGCCTATGCTAGAAATGTGTCTATCTTGAACATAATCAGAATTATCAGCTAATAAAGGTAAATTGACATACTCTGGCACACTGGAGGGAGCATCTGAGTGGTTTCCACTGTTGTACCTTGACAGGCTGTAGAAATTTCTGATGGAATCACGTCCTCATGTTCTGATATCAAAGATACACGAAGTGCAACTTGTATGAAGTTCAATTGCATTTGCAATATTTCGAATTTATATTTTTTGTATATATTTTATAGTTTTCACATGATTTGATATAATTGTATTGATTAGTTTGTTAAATACACATACTTTATCTGTTTGATTATTGTATTATGTTTAATATAGTATCTCTTCAGTTTAAACCATAAATGCATGCTGTCCACTCAAGTGGACACCTGAAAATCTCTTTGGAAAATTTGTAAAAAAAAAAATTATAAATCAAATCTTGTTTTTCATGCCCTAAGAGCAATAAAAACACATAGGAAAAAAAATCCTGACTGAGGTTATCATAATTCATGCATGAAAGGGTTAAATTAAATCACATGTGTTAACGTCGACAGCCCTAGCTACAGTATTAAATGTGCAACATGACATCATGACTTTGCGTAAACATACACGCCACTTTCAATTCAAGTGGCGTGTTATCTATACGCATTTTGAAATATACGCGTGTATGTCCACGCCGAAATCTTTTGCGTGTATGTCTACGCCATTAAATGTCCGAGTGATTCCGCGTGTATGTGTACGCCGTTAAATGTCCGAGCGAAACGAAGCAAAATCTATATCTACATCTGTGGAGCGATATTTCTTTTCCTAGGATGGTAGGAGAAGACTCATAAATGGTATTAACCCCAGTGACGGGTAGGTTTAGGGACGGGGTTGGGGTAGGTCATATATTTATATATGCATAATACAGTAATATAACGTTAAGTCAAAGGCGTTGATAAACACGCTGAAAAGCGATTATGCGTGTTGATAGCACGCCAAAAATGGAAATACGAATTGGCGTGTCATACATACGCCATTTCATGAGATCAGTCTGAAATGTGAGAATCAATCCCCTCAATACATCAGTATTGAATGTAGCTTCTTAAAAATACAGGAGCATGAGTATCATAATCTTGTTCAGTTCTATGTGGTACTCCATAATAGTCTGCATCCAAGTTCGGCTTTCATGTAAGCCAGACTAGTGAACAAAGCAAATAAGTCACTGTGCCTGTGCATGTGTTTCTAAATGAATGAGTTTTTTGAATAGAGCTTGTTGCTGTTGGTTATTCTGCTGGTTGCCATGAGCTAAGAATACTGAGTCACAATGGATACACGTTGCTATAACTGAATGCACAATATGATATATTTCGTTATAAAATTCTGTGCATAAAATTAGGCCTCACCGCTTTTGTAACGGAGAGATAGCGGTCGTAGCTGATAAGTACGATGTTGAAGACCGAAGCAGTGCAGAGAAGGTAGTCTACGACAAGCCACAGCTTGCAAAGTCCTTTACCCAGCATCCATTTCCCCGTCAAGATGTAGGGCATATACACGGGTATGCAGAAGGCACCTGTGGGAAACACCAATCAGAAGCCACAATTATAGTCATTCTTCAAATAAAGCTGAAGAACTTGTGTTGTTGCAACATTTTGTCTATTCAGTTGGTGTTGATGCTGTCAGCCTTGTTGTAAAGGGTGAAAAGGGTATACAGTCATTACAGTTTCAAGAGTAAAGATGAGGTCACATTAGCAAAATTATGAAATCAAAAAGGGTCCATTGTCAGTAGTGTAGTGATGCATGAAGCACAGTTCACACAGAAGTTACTTTCAAAGCAAGCAGCTTTCTGTTTGTCAAGGAGGGAATCCATGTGACCAAAATGAATGTTGCACAAAAAAATATATATATATTTTTTAATTATTTGTATATCGTTTTCAAATTTCCTATAAATTTCAGTTTACTTTTAGTTAGTTTCATTAAATTAAGTTTAATATTTTTATTTAATTTTTAATATATTTAGTTTTAGTGAGTTAATAGAACACTTCCAGTGTAGACCAAATCAAGACATTTAATTTCAGCAAAGTTTAATGTTTGCACAGTTTACAGTTAACTCTGGTGCAAACCTCTTAATAATACAAATAAAATGATTGTTTGAGATTGAAAAAGAAATAAAAAAACGAATGCAACTAAAAAGTATATAAGTAAAAAATACCCATTCATACTTCATATTAACCGCACGTATTAATGTAAATAAGAAAACGGTAAATGTTATTCTGCATCAAAAAATAAATGTGAAGCAATATAGTCACCAGCAGCAGGCAGAGAATAATTACTTACGGTAATTTGTATGTGGAGATGTATTATTATACTGTAACAATATAATATAAATACAATAAAAGACAATAAAGTTCCTTACAGTACAATAAGAAAAGGTCCCATTCAAAGTGCATATCCAATCATATACAATTAGTCAAGGTTTCGAATGAGAAATAAGAGCACCAGTCAAATCAATACAGGCAATAAAGATGAGAAGCCTCAGAATTCAAGTAATACAAGAATACAACCAATACTTTGTATAGAGACTGTCATGTTCAGCCAACCAACCCTGAACTATCATAATCATAAACATGTTTACGGTGGAACAAGACTGATTTGCCTTAAAGGGATTTCATTCAAATACTTTTTAGCTTCACACCATTTGCTTTCCTCAACAGTTGTTTGAATTTTTTTTTTTTTACTGTGATAGCATAGTAATCATCAAGAATAATTTTTTGTCATCACTAGAACAGACAACGGTGGACACATATAATACATCACATACAGTGATTAATGAGTTTAGAGCATTATTTTTGACACCATGATTTGACAAGGCAAGATTCTGACATAATAGAGGGAGAGAAAAATGCAATATTTTCTTTCTTTGCCCAAACAAATACAGTAAACACACAATGATGTGAGGAATAAGGGCAACAGAACATAGCTGTCCGCACTTATCTCACTTGAATTCAGTGCTGTACTTACAGCAGAACTCTATTAACTCGAGTTTTCTTTTTCCTTCTCTTTAAGACTCTTGTTTGAGTATTATGGAGAAAAACAAGTATTTGTTTATTTAATATTTGGATGTATATGTAAAAAAAAAAAAAAATCGACCAACATGCAACCTGAAATTAGAGGCTATAGTTTATTAATACATTTAGATTATAATTTTACTAAATAATAATTTTTACTAAAACTAGTATTCATTATTAAAGTTAAAATTGTATTCAATTTAATTTTATTCTCTGATAGCAATTTTTCAGACAACCCAGTTCTTCACATTGGTAAATTGTAGCATTCACCGTAGAATCCTGTCGAACCCTGGCACATTTCTGATTCTGACTAAAAATCACTGACCATGAAACTTCTCTGAACTTTACTTACCAACGAGGAAGTCTGAGATTGCCAGGTTCAGTAGGAAATAATTGCTCTGTTTGCGCAAACTCTTGTCCATCTTGAAGGCGACGATGACCAGTGCGTTGCCACATACAATCACAGTAATCAATATGACCATCATGACCGTGAGCAGCGCGAGCACCGGACCCGCGAACCCCGAGTCCCTCCTCACGGCGGTCCAGTTACTGACCGTGTGTTCACGGGTCATGTTGGGATCGCCGTGATGGTTACCCATCGAGAGCTTCACGGTCTTCAGTTCGAGCTTGTCTTTTTCATGTGTCTCATGAAGGATGAATTGGTCTAGTAAGTGTCTCGTGTGCGCGCAGTTGACGCCCCTTGCCCGTTCCCACGGCGCGCGTCAAGGGCGATTTACTATTCGGTGTTCTGATATGACACTGACATAATCCAGAAAAAAGAAGGAAAAAAACCTGCTAAAGTGTCACGTAAATCAAGTTATCCCATTTAGGAAATCACAGAAAATGTACAGAACATATCAATAATTTAAGAATTTGAAAAACATTCAAAAGTCGATTCATGAAATCAATTCATATTCCAATTGTTATATATTCAACAAATGTGTCTGAAACTTAAGCAGCTAGATTTCTTGACTGAAATTGCAGTGATTTCAAAAGCAGGTTTTGTTAAATGACCCAGTAAAGGAGATCAAGAAAGACAGAGCTATGGAGACCCAGCTGACAAAAACCTGTCCAAAGACCACATTTGAATGCTTAATATTTTATCAGTGCAAGTCATTAGGCCCTTTCACATTCATGAGAGCATTACACTTTATTACTGTTCTTAGACTGCTAGACACAGAAGGCACATTCAAAGTTACATCACACCTAGTCTCATTAACCCTTAATTTAAATAAAAAAAAATTTCCTTTAAGGTCTTTAAGGACAAAAATGTCTGTCAAAAAATTGTCATAAATATTTGAAGCATAGACAGGGCCGGCTCTAACCCTTTGGTTGCCCTAGGCGATATTGAGTTTTGCGCCCCCCCCCCCCCCCCCTTTAAAAAATTATAAGTATTTATTAAACTAAACATGCTCTTATAGTTACTCAAACACTTAAACAATAAATTGTTCATACAAATGCTACAAAGAACGTTCAAGGATATTTATATCATAGTTGCATTGTACAACTATATTTTATCTGACCATAAATAACTTTTAGTAGACAAATTACAACTGCTACCACCACTAGGCCTACTATTATTACAATCTATTGGGCTGCTACAAGGTTAAGGGGGTTTCGGGGGTATTTCCCCGTAAGAAAATTTTGTGCATTTTAATGTTAAATTCATCAATCTGGTGCACTTTGAGAGTTCAAAACTAAAAGCTCCAACCCATATTGAGTGTGCAAATTGAACAAAGAAAAATTCAAACCTTTTTTAAGTACAGTGTTTGTCTACATTACTGTCAGGAGCCAATCAGATCCCTCACATGTCACCACGCAAAGATCACTGTCCCCAGATTACTGATCACCTGCACCTGTTTCCACTCAGCACTCACTTCCCAGCCAGCACAAAAGCACCCGATTCACTCCCAGTCATTGTCAAGCCTCCAACAGGAACGACCCTTACCAGTCACCACTTGTCTCACTCTGAGCCATCCTTCAGCAACGGACGTAAAGTATACTTACCTGAAAGAAACTAACCTTGTTGTCCTTGTTCTGATGTTCCCAGGATCCGCTCCATGACTCATGTTCTCCGTTTCCTGGAATCCGCCACGAGTCCCGTTTCCCACTGGATGAGCTGCAAGAAAAAGTGAAAGTATCACTGAACTGGTGAGCTCATTGTCAAGTGCACTTCAAAGGATCTACTCACCTGGAATCCTTCCTGAATCACGCCTATCCACGAACGATCTGAAAAGAGAGAAAAACTCAAGTTATTGATCTGTGTTATCCGCGACGTTATTCCTTAAGAAGAGGATTCACTCACCTGGATGCATTCCTGCCACATATATCCTCTTCGAGATCACCGTTGAACTCCCGAAACCCTGCATACTTACCTTTGAGTTAAATAAAGATACATTTATGTTTATCACTTACCTCTGTCTCCGAGCCTGAATCCTGACAGAAGGCTTGACCTAACAACAGAAAGAGGTGAGAGATGGATTCCGGACAGCCCGCTGTTGCTACCAGCTCCACACCTACCACCGATCCTCCGACAGAACCCATGTTTACTCCAGTGAGAACTTCCGCGAGCGCCGCTTCTTCGATTACCTGCTTTGCAACTCCCCCGTCGCGCCCAGCGCCCTTCTCTGGCCGGGCGGAGGACTGCAACGGATTTTTACTCCAGTGTTCGCTAGCTCTGGAACAGCAAGTTCAGCTCTATCCCAATGAGAGAACGAAAGTGGCATTTATCATTCAGCAACTCTCTGGAGCAGCTCTGAGGTGGGCAGAGGCGTTATGGATGCAGGAATCCACAGTGGTTGCGTCAGTTCAAGAGTTTGTCAAACATTTTAAGGAAGTTTTCGGACGACCCGCGGATGATTCCTCATTTGGAGAACAGCTCCTACAATTACGTCAAGGAAAGAAGTCATTGACTGAGTATTCTGTGGAATTTCGCACACTTGCATCAAATAGTGGATGGAATGAGAGAGCTCTGATTTCTGTTTTCCGTCGAGGTTTAAACCCAGCTTTGCGCCTCCAACTGGCGATCTATGATGACAGCTTAGGAATTGAGAAATTCATTCAGCAAGCCAAGCGAGTCCTTCAACGATCTTTGAGTTGTTACGCTGATCAGTCTCATCACCATCCTGTGTCTTTTCAGAATCCCAAGAATCTCAATCCAGAAAATCAAGTTGAAGAGATGCAAGTCGACACTTCAAAAATTTCTCAGGCTGAACGTGTTCGTCGAAGAGAGATGAAGTTATGTATGTACTGTGGTACCAAGGGTCACTTCAGACTTAACTGCCCAATTCGACCGGGGAAAATGATGGTAAGCTCAGTCTTTAATCAACCCATTGTCTCAGCACTACTCACGATTCCTGTGATATTAAAGATTCAAGAAAAACACATCTCTGTAACAGCTATCATCGACTCAGGGTCCGCGGGAAACTTCATTTCTGGAGAACTCTGTAAGAGGCTCAGTCTGCGAGAGATCAACACTCCCAAGTCTTACGCTGTAACGGGTGAGTTAATTAACAAGACGAACGTTACTACCCAGATTGGTCCTATTCAATTGTGTGTGGAAGAGACGCACCAAGAGTGGTTTGAACCATTTGTGTTGATAAACAGCCAAACAGATCTCATCCTTGGTCGGCCATGGCTCGTCCATCACCAACCCACCATTGATTGGACGTCTGGGAAAATCCTGCAATGGGGATGTCAATGTCCAGAGATCAACGATCCAGTATCCCGTTCATCCAGTAACCCAAGGACCCAAGTGCTCAAAGTTAACTCCACGTCCATAGAGAGTCCCACAGAAAACTTGTCAACTAATATCCCAGCCTGTTATTCTAAGTTCTCTGACGTCTTCAATCCTGTCACTGCTTCCAAGTTACCCCCTCATCGACCATGGGATTGTGCTATAGACCTGATCCCTGATGCACGTCTCCCCAAGGGTCGGATTTACTCCTTGTCCATTCCAGAGCAAGAATCCATGAAGAAATATATCCACGAAGCTTTAGATCAGGGTTACATCCGACCTTCCACATCTCCTGCCGCCGCAAGTTTCTTCTTCGTGGCCAAGAAAGACGGTGGTTTAAGACCATGCATTGATTACAGAGCCTTGAATCAAGTCACTGTGAAGTTTAGCTACCCTTTGCCTCTTATACCCGCTGCTCTCGAACAACTCAGAGAGGCAAAGATGTTCACCAAGCTTGACTTACGGAGTGCGTACAATCTAATCCGTATCAAAAGAGGAGATGAGTGGAAGACTGCTTTCATAACCCCTGCTGGCCACTACGAATATCTTGTCATGCCATATGGTTTGGTCAACGCTCCTTCCGTTTTCCAAAGTTTCATGGATGAGATCCTCAGAGACTTTCTAGGGAAGTTTGTTCTGGTCTATATCGATGACATCTTGATCTATTCCAAGAATCCAGTCGAACACCAGAGACATGTGTCTCTAGTCCTACAACGTCTCAGAGAATTCACTCTGTTCCTGAAAGCTGAGAAGTGTACCTTTCATCAAAGCACCATCGACTTCCTGGGATACATACTCAGCGATCGAGGAGTGGAGATGGACCAACAAAAGACCGAGACCGTCCTGTCCTGGCCAACTCCCAAGTCCGTGAAGGAGCTTCAGAGATTCCTCGGGTTCGCCAACTTCTATAGGAGATTTATCAACCAGTACAGTCTTCTCACTTCTCCATTGACCTCCTTGCTAAAAGGAAAACCTAAGATCCTGCAGTGGAACCCCGAGGCTGAGAAAGCTTTTCATGCTCTGAAATCTGCCTTCACCAGTGCCCCTTTGCTTCACCATCCAGACCCTGAAAAACCATTCATGGTGGAAGTCGATGCCTCCACCACCGGGGTTGGAGGAATCCTGTCCCAATGTTCCGAGTTCTCCTCAAAGCCACTCCCTTGTGCATTCTTCTCCAAAAAGTTTTCTCCAGCAGAGGCAAACTACGATATTGGAAATCGAGAACTTCTCGCAGTAAAACTTGCCTTGGAAGAATGGCGACATTGGCTAGAGGGAGCCAAACACCCATTTCTAGTCCTAACCGATCATAAGAATCTCCAATACCTGAGAGATGCCAAGCGGTTAAATCCACGTCAGGCCCGATGGGCGTTATTCTTTACACGCTTTCATTTCAAGATTGCCTATCGTCCAGGATCCAAGAATACCCGTGCAGACGCTCTTTCCCGTATCCATGCCCCTGAGAGCCCTGTTGATCAACCTGAGACCATTCTACCCGAGAGGTTATTCGTAAATCCTATCCAGTGGGAAATAAACGAACAGCTTCAAGAATTGGCTCATCAGCAACCCAGAGTTCCCGGATGTCCTCCCGGGAAGATTCATGTCCCTGAAGAATTTCGCAACGCCTTGATTTCCTCAGCTCATTCTTCAGTGGCCACTGGACACCCAGGTATAACCAAGACCTTAGCCACACTTCAGGAGAAGTATTGGTGGGCTCACATGCGCCAAGATATCACTCAGTTCATTCAAGGTTGCATCCCATGTGCCATCTCCAAGGTCCCAAGAAATCTGCCAGTGGGGAAACTGGTCCCCTTGCCTATTCCAAATAGACCTTGGTCCCACATCGGAGTGGACTTTGTTACTGACCTTCCGATTTCTGACGGAAATACTTGCATCCTAGTAGCCATCGATCTTTTCGCGAAAGCATGCAAGT